CCACTTCCAGTACTGTAAGGAAGCGATTGAAAATGGGAAGAACGTGATTGTTGAGAAGCCGCTTACTATCCGGAGCGTTGATGCTGAAGAGTTGGTGAGACTGGCGAAGGAGAAGGGGGTTGGAATTAGTGTCTATCAGAGTAAGTCTCCATTCCGCCCCTGTAATTCTGGAAGTTAACGAATGTCACGGCATAAAGACAGAAGATTCGACTCCGACTTCCTAACCCTTGTCAAAGTGCTTCCAAGGGTCGGGGACCTAGTTTCTCTAGAAACACATTACGATAGATATAAGCCTGATACAACCCCCGACGCCTCCAAGCCATGGAAGTCAGCACAAGTCCCCGGGAACGGCACCCTCTTTGATCTCGGCGTGCATCTCCTAGACCAAGTGGTTCACCTTTTCGGCATGCCCCAACGCCTCTTCGGCGATGTCCGCGATGAGCGTGGTTGCAGTACAAACCCGTTCTCAACCTGGGGACAGGAAGGCTTCGTCGACGATTTCTTTACGGCGATACTATATTACAACTCCACTCCACAACACAAAAAACCGTTCACGGTGCGAGTAGAAGCTTCCACACTCTCATGTCAGACACCGCAATTAAGGTTTGTACTCAGGGGCGTGGACGGAAGTTGGATTAAACATAATTTGGATACACAAGAAGCACAGTTGAAGGCGGGGAGAATGCCAGGGACTGAAGGATTTGGAGCTGAGGAGGAAGAGCATTTTGGGACGTTGGAGTTGAAGGATGGGAGTGTTGAGCGGACAGTGGCAGAAGTAGGTGATTATGGGAAGTTTTATGAAAAGATTGCTGAGGGGGGCGTGGCTGTTCCCGCGGAAGAGGCGGTGAGGGTTATTAAGTTGGTTGAGTTGATTGGGGAAAGTAGCCGATTAGGCGGGATTTTGGATATCTCAGTTTAATGGAACATTATCTATCTTGAGGGGTTTAGGTTCCGCACACATCATTTGCAGCCGGTTGGACACAATTGTGTATGTATTTTTTTCGAGGAATAAAGACAGGATTCCCTTCTCAGCCAAATATCAGGGACCATCACCCCTCAACCCGGAATATCAATCCTTTGCTCTTCGCCTAAGATGCACTCTTATCTACTCGAGTACCATCATTTCTCCCCCCACAACTGACCCGACAGCTGTTTCGCAGCAAACCCAACATCAAAGAGGTGTCTAATAACCCTAACCCTAGGTTTGCTTTAAAATCTACCCACGCCTGCAGTTCTGCAGATTCAATGATCAATTGGTCAGGATGTCTCCTAGTTATCACATCTCACCTTCACCGCTTCCCCGTCCCTATCCCAATGCGCGACCGGTACGAAGTGCTGTCAAACCTCAATTCATCCGATTGGCGAAACAAACCTTCGAATCCACCACTGCGGAAACCCACACGGTGCAGGTACAATTCTCCACGGCACAATTCTGTTCGCCCACTAAACTTAACTTAGAAAAAAAAAGGGCACCTGATACCGGTAACCCCATTCCATCCAAACAACTCGAACTTACCACACACGGGCAATTCTCATAACATGTTATGCTCTAGCTCTCCAGAAACAACATTCGTCGAGCGTCTCCATCCACGATCCAATCGAACGGCTCGCTGCAGGGGTCAATTCTCCCACATCAACGTGTCGAGTGTGCGTCGCATGACATGGCAGCTGTCATGATCTCGTCTACATAACCAAGCGAGGGTCCTACTGTGTTATCCTTCCTGGCTCAAGTTATCGTGCTAGAAACGTCGAGTTGCTGCTGGCAGGTTTACGGTAACCTTTTGGCAACTTTTTTCTGTCCTCTCCTTTTCTTTTAACCTGAGTGAGTGAGCGAGTGATTGAATTTGCTAGTGCCGGCCGCAGTGTGTGAAGTCGTGAGTATCGTTCTGTTCCATGTCAGGCTGTGGTAATCGAAGACAAGCAACTAATAAGCGATTGCAGGTACCAGTCCCATTCACTCCCATTTAGATCGGTATTAATGCAAGCAAAGTACTACTCTTAGAAGCGTTACCCTCAGTAATTCTCCCTTCTCATTCCGGTATTGATGGATTTGGCTGATTGCTTGAATAGGTAGTTGGTTTGTGCTAACAGGGATAGTCACGTTATTGCCGTTATTGTCATAATCTTCCTACTCATTGGTTGCTTCATTGCGTTTGCGGCGTTTAGGATGAGGACGGTTTTGGGCATGGCATTTAGGTCGAATGACGAGAAGATTGACGCGATGTCATAGATATGGTCGGGACGGGGTGGTGAGGGCTAAAGGGAAGGTATAATAACTTTATTCACACGACTTTCTGAAGGCTACTGAATTTTTACCCTCTACCCCTCGCCTAGTGCTTAACCCCACTAATTTCATTATCCACCATATTACATTCTCTCTGCGATCAGCCCTGGCCTCCCTACCGAACCCCAACCAATATATTAACCTCCCGAATTCCTGTTGAGAGCATCTTCGAACGGTCCGACACCCGAGGAGCCGGCGGGCCGGATAAACTCAATGGAACACCTCCGGGACCTGCGCCTAAAGACTAACCTAAATTATCGGAACCCATCCCCGGATGTTCACAGCGGGGAATGTGCGGGGGAGAGAAGAGAAGAGAAGCGAGAAAGAGCGAATGTAAAAAAAGGAAAGAAAAAAAAGAAAAAGAAACAAACGTGGTACCTACAAAATCTCTATTTACTGAAGCATATATAAGCCCCTCCATAACCACACAACACAATTCCCCATAGAGTCTAAATGACCACAGCACAATATGAAAACCTTCCTGCTATTAATCCTGACAATTGCTTCATTGGTGACCGCTTTCCCATCATCAAGGAAGGGAGTAGCCTTCACGCATCCAAACTGTACTCCCCCACCGCCCCCCCCAATGAACCCAGCACGATCTAACAAACACAGGAACAATCGAGCGCGGCTACCAAGCCGCTCCAAGAGCAATGTTCGCCTGGCAAAAAAAAGTCCCAGCAAAAGAACGAATCCGCAACAGATAAGGTTAGCTCACTGCTGGAGTGTCAGAACAAGTGCTCGCATATATGGAGTCCGATGACGCGCAGTTCGTTCTGGTGGGATTGTAATGAGTGTTGTCGGAAGATGTGAGTCCTATATTTTTGTTTTGTTTCTTCTCGAGGTATGGGTTTGGGGGACTGATTGTGGTATGGCAGTGGGAGTGCGGCTTCTTATTGTTAGGTCTGTATAGAGGTGCGGAGGCTCGGGGGGGTGGATGTCGCGCTGGCGGGGCATTGGCGATGTGGGTTGGTGAGTGTGAATATGGGTTGGGAAGTTTGTGTATATTTTGTGTTGGCTGGTTTGGTGTTTTGGATGTGTATTTTCAATTACCTTAAAGTACAATATCGATCCGGGGGCACTCCATGAGTGAAGCAATTATATGGAAACCCAAGTGCAAGAAACTAGAGAATACATGCCTAGTTACTCCGTCTTTGATCACTTCCATGAAAAATTGCACTAAACCACCAGAAGACAACACCAATAACCCCCGGTACAGTAACCTCATTAATACCGTAATCCAGGAATACAGTAGTTTGTAAAGACGAGCCCACTCTGAAAAGCAATCCTTTGGCTGGGCCGGGCTTATTCCTGCCCACATACTGCACTCAAGACTTGCATATACCAAACGATTGAAAATCTGTGATGTGCATCCAAATCCCCAAGTCGATACCGAACGAAAATGTACTCTCCAGCTATCAAAACCCAGGGGGTGGGCAAGCTAGAACACAACCCTGGTAAATCTCCAAGGCCGAGGACCTGGCAATACAGTTGATATCTAAATAAATATTTTGCTCAACATCACGCTATACCACGGACAGAAAATATCTTCACTGACCTAGCTGCTCCCCCCCCTTTCCCCCTCCCTATTTCGTTTAGCGACTCAACTTAGCGGGCACTTGACACCCTCCCTTCCTAGCACTCAGTGTGGACATCCCATGCCTTTTTTCTATTTCTTTTTCTGCAAGTAGTTGTGCTTAGAAATGTAATCTCATACCCTAGTTTCACTGCTTGAGTTTGGGGAAATCACCCTCGGCCGGGAAGTTATGACGGAATCGGATGCGCTAGCGGTGTCTTGGGCCACTGCGTAACACGTGCGAGTGAGAAGCAGTGCTTAGGGACTACCACCGGGAAAGCCCATATTTCTCTCCATGGGAAACGGTAGTTGTCTCTCCCTGTCTTTCCTCATTTCCTTTCTTCCTTTTTCCCGCTCCCTGTTTTCCTCTTTGCGGTCGTTATCTGCACCATTGCTTTCCCCATCCCCTTTACACGCTTGTTTGAACATTTTTTTCAATTTCTCTACTCCTACGTCGAAATATTCATCTCAGAGCATAAACCTTGTTATCAAAAACTCTTATCATCACTACTCACCGTTATTAGATCTAAAATCTGCTTGTTCTTCCTTAACTTGGAGATTTTCCGTGCATAATGTGCAATATTTCATTTTTAGATATAAAGTATTTTTTTTTTCAGGCGTTATGAGGATTTGACCCCATTGTGTCAAAAAGTCCCAATGCGCTTTTCTTGCTTAAAGCTCTTTAACGGAATTGCAAATACAATCTCCCAATCGCTGATATTGCAATACTTTAGCATCACACCTCTGCCGACACATCAAACCGAACCGTCCACTCGCCAGAGCGCGAATGGATATGGATACAGCATTCTGTAACATACACCCAGCCTACCCCCAAGAAGCGCCCCGCGCCGGCCAAGCGTTTGTCTCGAAAAAAGACAAAAGCGAACCCGGCAGGCCATTGCAAGGGAAAATATTTATGTCAAGGCCCAACACTCCACTCTTAAGATATTCCAGGAGAGATCACTCTCCCGCTATCAACCATAGATAAACACACAACCTCTAACTTGCCATACAATCCCTATCATCAAGAACACTCTACAAAAACCTTGCACATCCTCCGCATGATTACAACTCCCAGTTACAACGCATCCAGGAACTATCCCCCCCAAGCCCCCGCACCCGCCAGGCACAACCCGACAAGACATTGTGGCCGAGTGGTTAAGGCGGCAGACTCGAATGGATCCTTCAAATTTGATATCTGCTTCGTTCGCGAGCACAGGTTCAAATCCTGTCGATGTCGTTTTTCTTTTTTTTTTTTCTTTTGTGTGTTTGCAGGAAATGTGTTGGCTGTCTTGGTGGTATGTTTTTGGCTAGTTGTACAAGTAGTTGGGGCGGGACGGGGCATGGGGTGTCAATCGGCTTGACGGTTGAGTGGGGTTGGTGGAGTAGATGGGGAGGTGGGGATACAGTAGTTTGGGAGAAGATGTGGCCTTGAGTGCGCTAGGTAGGAGTTGTGCCCGAAGTTATTCCTTGACCAAACATTTAATAACTTTAGCGCATATAACACTACTACGATACGACGGTATCATAGTCCCAACCCCCCTTGTACCGTACTGCACAAACCCTATGTCAATCCAGAATTCAAGAATCCGGCAAACTTCCGCCCTATCAAAGTACCCCATCTTTCCCCCATCTCATCTAAAGATTTTTTTCTGAAAACTTTATTGTTTGCATCGTCAACCCCCCCTCCCCTCCCCCCTACCCCCGCCACCACCTCTCAATCCAACCCACCCCAAACACTCAAAACAAAACAAGAAGAAAGATGCATAGGCGTATCCGCGTATTGCAACGCCGTATCAAATCCCGTGAACAAGTCCCTCACTCATCCCACTACTCCGCGATTTACCCAACAAATTCATATTCGCACTAGAACATCCTTCCCAGTAGAGTTCTTTTTTTTTTTTTTTTTGGGAATAATTGGAGGAAGCGGGATGTGCACATACAAGGTTGTGGTAACATTCCGCTCTTGACAGGAGGAGGAGTGATGATCTGTGATTCCAAGGGGAAATTCAAAGACTGTTGCTTTCTTGCTTACTTTCTTTAAATTGCCTTGGTGCTTTTTTTTTTCTCTTCTGTCCGTCTGTCTGTGTGTCTACCTGTTCTTGCTTATCTGCATATCCTGAGGTTTCTGTTACTTGTTTGGCCGATTGGTTACGGCGTACGATGGTGCGGGAAAAATGTGGAGGGTAAGTGTGTAAACTCCTCCCCCCCCCAAAAAAAACGGAATCTTTGGCGAGGAATCAAAGTTTTAAACAAGCCCTAAACTGTTAGAGACTGTTAGAGCCTATCTACTAGCCAGTTGGAAAATCGCTGTGAAAGTGTTCACCCGCTCATCCTCTCGAGATTCTTGCACTATATATTCTTGGCGCTGCAACGGATGACATTTTAGAATAAAACAGTGGCGGAAACGTCCTTTACGTCTTTCTTGTTTGGTTTGGTTTGGTTTGGATATTCGTTGTTATGGCTTTTTCGCTGATTTATTATTATGCTGCTCTTCAATTCTTGCAATTCCCGGAAATTACTGCAGTCTGTTAGAGATTAATATCAAACCCCCCCGGTCTGAATTCTTTTTTGTATAAAAAAAAAGCTATGTTACACCCCCCTAACCCCCCTAACCCTTCTAACCATCTACACCCCTCCCCTCAAACCCCTCCGACTCCACTGATGCTTCCCCTCATTCTTCCTCCTCCTCTCCTCATACAGCGCCTTGGCCAACTGCTTATACAAAAACCTAGTGGCGCCATGAAAGCTAATCCCATGATCCGAGTCGGTAAACCACTGCACGCGCATCTTCTCGGGACTAACCCCCTCATACACAAGTGTATCTACCAGCGCCGCCGAGTTCTGGAAGTGCACGTTGTCGTCGCCGGTGCCGTGCTGGATGAGGAATCCGCCCGCAACGTTCTTGAACCCGGCCGTTTTCCGGATCGCAGAGGCGTTGTAGCCTGCTGCGTTTGTGGTTAGGAGCTTCATGTAACGTTCGGTGTACATGCTGTCGTAGAAGCGCCAGTCTGATACTGGCGCTGTAATCTAGTTTGCGTTAGCGGATGAAATGTGGGGGAAGACGGGGGATATACAAGCCCCAAGGAAAACGCCCCAGAATCTAATTCGAGGACTTTACCAGTGAGGTACCCGCCATAACTCCACCCCCTGATAGCTATCTTGGAAGCATCGACATAGTCTCGTTTTGCATACTCCCTGGCAGCCCAGACTTGATCCTCCGCCTCCAATTTTCCCAATTGACCGGTGACTAAAGCACGGAATTTCCGCCCTTTGTACCCTGTTCCGCGGTTATCCACACTGACGACGATATACTCCAACTCTGGATCCGCTCCCAAGTACGCGCTAAAATCGACCGTTTGGCGGAACGTCTTTTGAGTGTTTTGCGAGCCGGGGCCGCCATATATATCGAATAGCACAGGATACTTCTTCCCCTTACGGAATTTCGGAGGCAGACGTTCCAAGAAGTTGAGCTCGTATCCATCAGGGTGCTTCAGCGTTGACCAAGATATCTCTGAAAGCGCATATGCGGAGAGTTTACTCTTGAGGGAGGTGTTGTCGTTCATCACTCGGATGGGCGTGTCAGATTCAATTCTGCGGAGTTCTTGCCATGGTAGGTTTGGCCCGTTGTAGCTGAGGATGTAGTACCCCCCACCGGAGGAGAAGCTAGCATCGTAATACCCTTCCTTTGTGATGTCCACGAGTGCCTTTTTGCTCTTTCCATCAAGACTCACGGAGAAGATGTGCCGTTCTGTAGAATGGCGCTCAGTAGATTGGTAGTGTACCAGGCCACGCTTAACATCGGTTGCGTAGATCGCCGTGACTTCCCAATCCCCGGAAGTCAAGGCAATCGGCTCACCGCCAGATACAGGGTAGAGGTAAATATGCGGCCAACCGGAATGATCCGAAATATCCACATACGAGGGGGTAGCAAGTCCGGGAATATCTACCGTAACCAAGAGAATTAGTAACCCACAACAACTACCTCCAGGAGACAACCCACAAGTGATAGCAAGATTATTATCCAACCACCCATCCGTAGCATCCCTCTCCCTCACAACCCTGGTACCCCCACTCTCAACATCAACCAACACCAACTTCTCCATATCCTGAACGCGATTCTGCGTGCGGAAGATGACATGCTCATGTTTCTCGGCGACCCATGCGACCTCAGTAATCACCAAATTGTCGGGGGCAAAAGTGTCGAATTCAATCTTCCTAGGCGCGCTCGGATTATTGATCTCGAGGAGATGGAAGGTAACAGTGGGATTCTTCTCGCCCACTTTCGGATACCTAATGTCTAGATCCTTCGGGTATGGTGGTGCAACCTTTTGCTCAGCCATGTAGTAGGGGACTGTATATGTTGGTACCTACATGCGTTGACACAGGTTAATACTACCAACCAATCGGCGTATCAGTTTGATAGAAGAGGGATGCATACCCCCGTCTCATCAAGCCTTAAAAACGCAAGATATTCCCCATCCGGCGAGAACCACAAGGTAAACCTATCCCCGAAGATTTCTACAACCGTTAATCCCAACTTCTCTTCCGAAGGATAGATAGGGAGAGTAACAAACCCTCCTCATAAACCCAATCCGGCACCCCATTAAACACATTCTCTCCCCCATCGTTGGTAACCCTAGTACTTACCCCCTTCTTCCAAACCCACAGATCATTACCACGTACATAAGCAATGACATCCCCCACCGGACTCCAAGTCGCAAACTGCACATCCCCCTTCTGCCCCTCAACAAGCGGAGCCAACTTCTTCCCTTCAACACTCCAAATATAATAATCCGCCGAGAACGAATGTCTGTAGAGCTTCTTGTAATTCGCGCTAAAGAGGACGTATTTGCCGGAGGGTTGAATGGAGTAGTCGTAGTAGTCTAGGTTTAGTTCTGAAGCATCGACGAAGACGCTACTGGCGTTTGTTAGGATGTTGCGGAGTTCCAGAGTTGAGGTTTGACGGTCTTGGACTATGTATGTGCCGTCCTGGGTGGAATTGCCGGCTGAGAGCCATTGGAGGGATGTTCGGGAGACGGTGAAGTCTCCGGAAAAGGCGTCTGCGAACGTAGCTAGTTTTTTGGAACCTGAAGAGGCGAAATCGTCGGAGTCGGAGTCTCGAGGTGTCGGAGCACACTGTGATACTCCCAAAAGGAGGGAGAGGGTGAAAAATAAGAACTTCATTTTCGTCTCTCTCTCTCTCTCCCTTGTTACTGTCTATCCAGGGGGATGGACAATAAGCCAGATGTAAGGAGAGAAAAAAATACAATATCTTTCCCCCAACTATTTATGCTACTCCCAAGTATGGTGTTCTACGACAAGACCCCACCACAGCACGTACAGTATTACCAACCTTCCAAAACAAGCCCCATCCTCCGTACCCAATTCCTTGGTAGCCATAACCTTATCATAATCTCCGCAAATAAGCGTCTTCCCTTCCCATCCCCGCACTTCGGACAAACCCCCTTATCGTACAGCACCCCGTCACGCGAAAAAAAGATTTACAGTAACACCTTGCTTAGCGGTAGTATGCATACCATGGTAGTGCTAGCACAAGAACGGAGGGCACAAACGCTCTTGGTAGTAACGAGGGTTGTTTATCCGATTAGATACAAGGACACAAAGATTCTCTCTTTCAACGGTTGATATGCTATGATAATGATATGCTATGATAAGCTGGATTGGTTGCATACATATCGGGTTGCACCAGCGCTGCGGATGCAGGAACAGCGGAGGTGGGCATTGCTGTGTGGGTATTGTACGATAGATTGGTGGTTGGCGATGGGAAAGTGTGCAAGGGAGGAGTGGAGGAAGAGTTACCTGGGATTTAGAAGCAGAAAACGGAGGATAACGCGGTTGCACCCACAGCGAGATTAACACCTCTGAGGGTTAGGGGTCCTTTTTGCCGTTCCGGGGGGTTCACCCAATCAACGCCCTTTGAGCGATTTTTCACGATGGCTTCAAAGTCTTTATTCTTACCCTCGGTTACAGGAGATAATTCCTAGGTGTTTTGCTCCCTATTCGACACCCCTTGGGCTCGCTTTCCTTTGTTTCGGCTATTGATACGCCGCCCATGATACGAGCTCTTTTTAGAGCACCACTGCCCGCCTCTTCATAGGCACCCTTTTCTGGAACCACATTCTTTTTTGCGATGGCAGACGGCTGGGACTACAGTTTGTGGTTTGAGGAGCCTCTTGAGGCCCGAGTCCATACTCTCTTTATCGACACCGCCTAGTA